ATATAAAAGATTAATTTATATACATTTATTGCCTTTACTTTGTATCAACCAGGCGCCATGGACATCCTCCATGAGCTGGATGAGAGAGGTCCTCCTCCTTACAGGTACGTTATATCAGTATTACCTGCCTACAGCTACTGCTTGGTGTATTTTCTTGACAGGGAGAAGGGTTAGAATATACTGTACAAAGGGTATGAGAATGCATTACATTTTATTAAGCAAAGCCCAACAAGAGAGATCAGTGGGCATGAGAGGTCCTCCTCCTTACAGGTACGTTATATCAGTATTACCTGCCTACAGCTACTGCTTGGTGTATTTTCTTGACAGGGAGAAGGGTTAGAATATACTGTACAAAGGGTATGAGAATGCATTACATTTTATTAAGCAAAGCCCAACAAGAGAGATCAGTGGGCAGCTAAAGCCATCTAGGAGCCATCTAGGAGCTACGTCATAGAGTTCCCTCGGATCACTTTTAGTTTCATGGGATTCTAAGCTGTCAAATTGATGAGGCTTTTCAGTGTTTCTGTGTGAGGAACAGAATCATCTAGTCATGTGATTCTTAGCTGTATAATGTCTCTCTCATGTTTAATATGTGAGAGCGAGGCTGCACTACGCTCAGCGTAGCCAGGCATCAGGGAACACACTGGCTGCATTTTCGCCTAATTTAAAACCACAAAGTTACCCCCTAATATAGGGAATTCAAGGGGCAGTCAGCAGAAAGAAGTCGGAGACAGTCAGGCAGACTACATTCCTTGAGCCAAGCTGCATGCTTTTTTCGTGTTTGGCCTTACTGTACCTTTTATTTGAGGAAGACTTTTTGACTATTTGAGAAACCACCAAAAACTCTTAATTTTGTAACAGTAGAAGTATTATTAATTCCTTCTCCAGGAATGTGGACATCACAGAAGACCAGGCCAGAGAGGCGATACTCCGGTATCTGTCTGCCAAATGCTGCTGTCACCCGCCCAGAGCTGAGGAACTGGTCATTACCAGGTTAACCCAGATGCCGCTGTACCGAGTAAGTGGCAGCGTTCATGGAGCATTGGAAAATCTGTCAAACGTCTATAATGTTTTTAGGTTTGTGGTAGCATCAGCAGAGTAATGTAAAAGAACAGTTTGGGCTTCACTATAAATGTTAATAGAAAATGTAAGGAGACTTCCAGGCAACGGTCCCAAGCAAAAGTATAAAAGCCTTATCCAGACCCTCCATATGATACATAACACTGAGCTCCTGACCTTCTTTCTACTTTTCTGATTACACTCACCTCTAGGATATCACGTGCTTTAACACGACAATACTTTAATGCTAACCTTCTCTTTACTTCTCTAATGGGATATCACATCCTGTAGCATGGCCCTCCGTAAGGTAGACCTTCTCTCTACTTTCCTGATTACACTCAACAAACGGATATCACACCCTCCAACATGACCCTCCATAAAGTAGAGGATATTCTGCTTCTGACTATCTCTCTACCTTTCTGATGACACTCACCACCAATATATCACACCCTACAACATGACCCTCTCCTTACTGACCCTCCCTCTGCAGTTCTGATGACACTCACCACCAGGATATCACACGGTGCTCCATAAGGTAGAAAATACTCTGTTCCTGACCCTCTCTCTACCTCGCCAATGGAATATAACACTCTCCAACACGACCCTTCATAAAGTAGAAGATGTTCTGCTGCTGACCTTGTGTCTGCTTTTCAAATTACACTCCCCCAATGTATCACATCCTCCAACATGACTCCCTAAAAGGTAGAAAAGACTCTTCTGCTGGTTGTCTCGCTAGCGTTCTCATTACACTCACAACCAAGATATATAAATACTCCAACATGATCCTCCATTGTGCAGTAAATACTCTGCACCTGACCTTCCCTCTACAGTTCTGATGACACTCACCACCAGGATATCACACGATGCTCCATAAGGTAGAAAATACTCTGTTCCTGACCTTGTCTCCACCTTTCTGATTGCAATCACCAGCGGAATATCACACCCTCCAAGAACATGACCCTCCATAAAGTAAAATATACTCTTCCCCTGACCGTGTCTCTACTTTACTGACTACACTCCTCCAATGTATCACACCCTCCACCATGACCCTCCATAAAGTAGAAGATACTCTTCATCTGACCTTGTTTCTACTCTGACTACACTCCCCTGATGTATCACACCCTCCTACATACGGTAGAAAATATTCTGCTCCTGACCTTCACTCTACATTTCTCATCACGCCACCTTCGAGAGGTCGCACCCTCTAACATGACCCTCCACAAGGTAGAAGATACCCTCTTTCCTGATTTTCTCTCTACCTTTCTGATTATACTCAGCACCAAGATATCACATTTCAGGATACTTATTTACAAATCCAGCAGCAGAGGTCAAGGTAGGAGTGAGTATAGAGACAAGTGAAAGGACTTAGAAGACTCTTTCGAAATCAAGAAAATTGCATTCAACCAAACCTGCTCTCCAAGCTCCCAGCGGGTGCACTACTGAGTACAGCATGGCCGGTTAGAAAAGAGCGGAGCCTTAAAAACATATCATGTGTTGTATAATTATAGCCCCTCTGGCAAGTGATGCAATGTATCTAAGGCCTGGTTCACACCTGGGCGTTTTACAGCGCGTTCCTACACGCTGTAAAACGCTCAACATGTGAAAACCAATGATTGCCTATGGGCATGGTTCCCACCTGGGCGTTTTACAGCGCGTAGGAACGCGCTGCAAAATGCCCTATGCCCAAAGAAGTACAGGAGCTTCTTTGGGGCGTTTTGCCACGCGTTTACATTGGTATTCCCGAGTGGGGAACAAAGCGGTAACCCCGAGCCACACTCGGGAATACAGCGTACAGGTCTTACCTTGTCCACGATCCCTGCTGTGTCCTCCGGCGGCTGCCGACTTCCGTGTTCTGTCCCCTGCGAGCGGCCGCGCCACAGGGGGGCGGAGCCGGTGGTAAGTTTAAAAGTGAAACTAAAAAAAAAAACATTTTTTAAATAGAGAAAATAAAGGAAAAAAAAAATCATACCGCCAGTGAAACGCGCGTTTCACTGAACGAAAAAACACGAAAAAAACTAGCTGAAAAACGAGCATAAAAGAAACGCTCAGGTGTGAACCCGACCTAATAAATGTTTTAACAACAAAAGTCAATATCAAGTATTAAATGCAACCCAAGTTTACAAGTTATCTTAAAATAATATCATTATGTCGACAGTACAGGCTGGAGAGCTTCACAGAGACCAGACAGCATGAGAAAACCAGCAAACCGTATACCGGTGAGTCGGTTACATGTTACATATCACTGTACATGGGATTTTTATTGCCATTTCCAAATGACCAACGGAGCCTGAAATAGTTCTATACACCGAATGATAATGCAAATACTCAGCGAAGCAGTAGCGTGAAATAACAGTCTTGTTAAAAAAGCATTAACCATTCATAGACCAACATTACAAGGGATTTAGCAAAACCAGATCTTTACCTGCTTCTGCTCAGAAGGTCTTGAGAAAGGCTATTACAGTGTATTTCCTTAAAGTGACATTAAACCCTAATTTTTAACATAAAACAATACTGTAATGTGTGCCTTGCTGTAATCCATGGTAGTTTCCCTTCTCTTTGCTGCTCTTCCTTTTAAATCTGTATCTGTTCTCATGCTGGGCAGAACTTCTGTTTTGCAGCTGAGTACCTTGTCTCTGGAATGGATACATGGTGTCTGTGTGCAGGTTCACAACCTGAGCCAGCACTACAGGAAGAGGCAGCCAGCTGCAAAGGGAAGTTCTCCCCCAGCATGAGAAGACATGAGGATTTAAAAGGAAGAGCAGCAAAGAGAAGGGAAACTACCATGGATTACAGTAAGGCACACATTACAGTATTGTTTTATGTTAAAAAATCTGAGGGTTTAATGTCACTTTAAAATGCAAATTAAGTCAAAAGTTCTTTTTTCAGTTTTGGAATAGAGTGAAGAGATTAGGACACCCGTCTGTTTTTTTATTGCTGTCTGTGTCCCCGTTAGGGAGAGTCAGCCTCTCTGTTTGTCCTGGCGACCGTTATCCCTGAAAGTAAAAGAAATTCCCACATTTTGGGTTGTCACCGGAACAGGGATAGAGGGGAAATCTTCTAATGGGGACACTATTTCTGGTGACCACTGGGGCCTTCCCTCTCTTTGGAGTCATTACCTCTCAAATCCTGTTGTGGCTATTGGACAGGAAGTCAAGAAAAACCTCCCCAATGGGACACAGATGGTAAAAATAGATGACAGGGGTTATAATCCTTCCTTACATTACTTGAGTTCTATTTGAAATCTTTACAAATAAGTGTTAAGTGGAATGTTCTATCTTTACTAAAAGATGGCTTAGGGTATACCTTAAATATCATTCTTTTCCTTAAGATGTTAAAAAATAGGAAATAAATAAGGTATTAGAGCTTTTTTTTTTCCAAGCCTTTACTATGTTGGTGTCTTCAGGCCAAAGACTTGACAAGCCTAACAGGGGAGCAGAGCCACAGCTGTGGAACATCCCAGTCCAGACACCAAAAATGTTCCAGGAGGGATCAGAGAGAATTCCTCTTCCCAATTCTTCCGAGCTGAAGGTGAGTGAAGGTTGATATAACACTGCAGGTACATGCAGAGGTCAGTGAACGTTGGTGAATGTATTCAATTCATTGGTGCTAACACTGTCCTTCCTTCTGGAGGGGGGCTACTTTAGTTCCCCATGGTCCCTGTGTGTGTTGTAAAGTAGTCACCGCTCCAAGCTCGCTCCTGTGATGGACTACAATCTCTGTACAAATTTTTAAACTTAAAGGAGAACTATGAGGTGAGTGCTTTTCACTCACCTCATAGTTCTAGCCGACCTGGGACAATGAGACTGTCACAGGTCGGCTCAGTAGATCGGGAAGTGAGCGAACAGATAATGGCGTTCGCTCACTTCTCGATCCTGTCACGGCTCTCTGCCGTGACAGGGGAGGGGCTGGATTCCCCCCTCCCTGCTCCGATCCTCCTGCGCTGACTGGCGGAACGGACGGGGGAGGGGGTGGGTACAGCTGACTCTGCCTCTAGATAGGCAGAGCCAGCTGTCAGTCACGCAGCTGGGCAGATCCAGACATAATTGTCGGGATCCGCTTCAGCTGCGGCGTCTCAGTATACCGCGAGCTGTATACCTCCCATTACCCTAAGGAGAACTATGGGGAAAAGCCCTAACCCCATAGTTCTCCTTTAACTTGAGATTGTAGTCCATCCCGGGAGTGAGCTTGGAGCGGTGACTACTTTAAACACACACAGGGACCATGAGGAACAAAAGTAGTCCCCCTCCAGAAGGAAGGGCAGTGTCAGAGATGATTGGAGGATCTACAGCCGAGTGATATACAAATAAGATACATTGTTGTTCATAGTGGGTACTTCTTTCTTCCTCTTAATTGTGATTTTCTTGCTCAGGTGTGCCAAAAGTGTCAGGGACGAGGACGCTGTAAGTGTTCCAGGTGTGGAGGCTCGGGACAGGTAAGTCGTACCTCTCTTGTGAGTACTCACAAACCTCCAGTATGTGTATTGAAGCCTTCCCAATGTCTGTGCAGTTTAGATGCCGCTGCTCCAGTGGAAGCCGACAGCGGTCCAGGAACAAGAGGTGCCCCGGGTGTGCTGGTAGCGGCAGGAAGAGGTGAGCGCTAACCATCAATTATTTGCCTGGCTAGCTATTGGTTGAGGCACTGCCTGATAATCAGTAACACAAAGCAACCGCATGCATTCATCCAGAGCAACCGAATCCAATTTAAACTTTTAGCACCAATCAAAGCGTTGTGCAATGACTGCTAAGTTGCTGTAGGTTGCTATACTTTGCGCATTAACTTAATAAGGTAAATGCAAATCATTTTGAAGCTCAGTGAACAAAATACAATGTCCCTAAGGCATAAAAGGATTTCAATCTCTGCTAAACAGTAAAATGAAATAGAATGAATAAATTATGAAACCATCCAAAGCCCAACGCCAGCCAAAACTTTATTGTATTTCGGAGAGAGTATGAAAGGGTTATCAATTCTGTCAGTTTTTATTTGTTGTCTTTGTCTCCATTGGGGAGATTCACACTCACTTCCTCTCCTGATGAGGCAGGACAATAAATTAGGGGTAGGTATCATTGGCACAGGAAGTCTATAGATGTCCTGGATTTACCTGGACAGTCCTGCCATCCTTGGACCCATAATTCTGATGATGCTGTGTCCCGGGCCTTGTGCCAGGATTACAGTGGCTCTCTTATTTGAGTTATTGCGCATGGGCATCAACTTAATAAGGTATTCATTGATCGGGGGCCAGGAGTGGGTGGCCCCTGCATAATTAGAGGTGTGGTTTAGATGGAAAACTCCTGTAAGTGGGCGGAGTCTTGTTAGGACAGCCCAACCACTTGGTGGATCTGAGGTGGACAGTAGGTGTGGTTAACTGTGTCCCTGGAACTGGGACTGAAATGTTGGTAGGTATGGAAGTCACGGGGGGCAGCAAGTACGTGACCACGGTTCTAAGCTGTCCCTGACCACAGTTGAAAATATTGTTATACTCACTGTTCCTATTAGAGTAATTTATCATCATCTTGTCTTCAGAACAAGAAAGTTTGGATGTTGGTTGTGCTGCAAAAAGTGGTCAAGATGCTCGCAACTTTGGAAAGTCTATGTATTTGTTTGTTTGACAACATGATTGAGGGAAAAGCTTCTGGCCTTGGGGGTACTTTTCACAGTGCTCTTTGCCCACCAGCACCCAAACTTACCTGTGAAGGATCTGTTCCATTGGTGGCCCATCCCGAGAGTTGAGCAGCCACAGAAGAACCCTTTAGTACAGCGTACTCTGCCTATTCTGGGACCAACCAAAGTTTTTTTGGAACAATACAAATCAACTTTGCACCAGCACCACCTCTCAGGACATACAAATATCTAGGAGGGGTGATATCTTTATGGCCTCGTCCTGGAAGGTGATGGCAAATCTTCCCAATCATATCATTAAAACCTGTTAAAGGTACCAACCTTCCCTTTTCTATCCAAAGCTAAATACAAAGTTTTGGTTTGACTTTGGCTTTCAAGTGAACGTTCAATGTCTCCGTTCCAGATGCAGCAAGTGTTCCGGACGTGGCAAAAAAGTCTGTCCTGTTTGCAAAGGCGAGAGAAGACTCGTCCACTACCTGCAGCTCTCCATCACATGGTAAGATGAAAGTGAACTGCAGGAAAATATTTGTTCACATCAAGGCTGATGATATACTGACCATTCTCTGATTGTGGCTACATATGTATATGTAGGGCTTTCAATGTCAGTTTGCCCACTTTGCAAAATTAGATGTTCCTCAGCTGGAGTCTTGGGAGAACCATATAGACTTCTATGGTTCGGAGAAATGGATTGGAGACAATCTGTATCCCAGGCCCATAGAAGTCTTTGAAGTTCTGCTGCACATGTGTGGAGGAAGACTCTGGCCTGCAGCAAGAACTTAGTAAGTGTGGAGCTTTGGGGTGGAGTGGGGGTGCAACCTTATCTCGGGGGAGAAGGGGCAAATGGGGAAACAAACTTTGAAATCTTCCTTTCAATTTAAAGTATATCTAAAGTTTTAGTTAGGAAATAATTCCCTTAATTTCCTTTCTCAAATACACACCAGGAAGTAAGTGGAAATGTCTCCACCTCTAAGACAGCTGTCACGAGAACAGGTTGGGCCATTGGAAGATTTTAACACGGGCCTGAAATACTGAAATATTTCTGCAAATAGTAGTCTTAGGAAGAGAGATTTGGAGGTCAGGAATGAAGGAGGACAGAACTGACAGCCTCCATGTGCCCTTCATCCACCAGTTTCCCTTTAGCAGTGGAATGTCCTGATGGGCTGCAACTATCCCAGGACGGTTAGGTAGGCCAGGTCCCCTGTATGCATTTTGAAGTTTTCTTTTTGGCAATAACTGGAGTGTGTTTTAACTCACCTTAGAATGTTTTCCAAAAAAATTTATTTGTCAAGTGGATCTTTAAAGACTCATTCAACCCAAAAGTGATATTTTAACTATAGCTGAAACCTGGTGGGCTGAGGCGGCCTCTGGATTTTGACATGTCTTGGATTCTCCAACTGTGAGATCTCCCTGCCATCATTCTCGACTCTCTGTTTGGATCCACCTGGGAGTTTGGGGTGTTCCCATTCACTTTTGTGTGTTCCAGTTACCACTGACACCTACTACATCTTGTAAAATGAATAAAAAAGCCATCAGGGATGATGGGAACTCTCATTATGGTTATAGACGGTGTGCAGACCCGGGAACTCAGTACAGAGATCTCACCAACAGAGTCTCCTCAAGACTCCAAGTCACATGGTTTAACTATCCAGCATCTAACAAACACTAAGATCCTTCGGCTCACTTTGGCCGCTGTAGCCTTTCGGTTCACTTGAACCGAAGGGCTGCTGTACGGGCTATTCACTGTAGCCCCTACAGGAGCCGAGTGGCTCAGCTGAGCCGAACCCATATGCTTCTTCTCGCCTGAGCCGTAGTGACACCCGAAGTGTGGAGAAAGGTCGGCCGAAGGGCCAACCATTCTTCACGCAACATGACAGCTGGGTGGAGCCAGCCGTGATCTCACAGCTCGCTCCGCCCAGTTGTAATGACAGATCAGCATCCCCAAATGATCTGGGGAAGGTGATCTGTCATTAAAAAATAAAACCTGGGCGGAGCCGGCCATCACGTCACAGCTGGCTCTGCCTAGTTGTTATTTATTGCACAGGACCAGCTAGAAGACTCTGGCAGGTGCTGGCCAATAGGAAACAGTTGGGCGGAGCTAGCAGTGATGTCACCCAATTGTTTATATTTTGTCCACATCTGTCAGATTCAACATTATGCGGCGTAAGTTGGTTGCGTGCGTAATTTTTTCATTATTTTTTTTTTATCTTTAAAATATTTTTTCTTATTTTCTTAATTTTTTTGAATTTTCCTGATTTTATATATTTTTTAAAATAATTTTTCAACATTTTTTTTCTCTCTCATTTACGTTTTTTTTTTTCTATTCTGCACGCTACCTCGGAGGTAGAGAGCAGAATAGTCGAGCCGAATGCTGCTATGCGGCATTCGACTATTCACTCACTGCCCTTTGGCCCCTATGAGAATGTTGGATCGAAGTGCAGCAGGAGTCGAACTCCTTCTGCACTTCGGCTCAGCCGAACATTCAGAGCATGTTCGGCTGACCAAAGGCGCGCAAGGCTGAAGTGCAAGGCTGAAGTGAATAGCCGAACAACGTTCATCTCACTTGGGCTCAGTTATTCACTCGGCTGCCTTTGGCATTTAAGTGAATAACTCCCCTAAATATCAATTATAGGTAGACTGATCCTTTAATATGGCACAGAACTCTTTTTCTGTCATTTCAGGAGGACTCTGCATTCGGAATACATCTGCACTTCTCCAGTTCCTGAGCTTAATTTTCCCACCAGTCTCCTACGGAAGGTGACCGGGGAGGTGATTGTGAAGGACAGCGATGTGACGGTAGGTGGACGACTGTTGCGTATATGGCAGGAGGGATGAACGGGCACATTGCAGAGCAATAATGGGGTTATCTGCAACTTGATGGGGTTATTCAACAGGGGAACATGAGCTAAATAGTGACCTGAATGACAGAAACAAAGAGACTCCCAATGAATATATGAAAGCCAGAATAACAGATGAGGAACAAGTAGTGAAATTGGCAGTATTTGCTTTGGTGGTAAAATTAAATGGTAAATTACGGTAAATTAAAGTGACACTAAACTCAGGAGTTAAATCTTAAAAATACATTCAAGTACCTTAAAGGAGAACTATGAGGTGAGTTATTTTCACTCAACCTCATAGTTCGAGCCGACGTGTGACAATGAAACAGGTCGGCTCAATAGATCGGGAAGTGAGCGAACGCATACCGTCGCTCGCTCACTTTCTGATCATCTCCCTGCAGAGAGCCTTGACTGTCAGTCACCGCTCCCCGCAGGGATTCCCCCCTCCCCGCTCCGATCCTCCGATATTTGGAGGTGGGATATCAGGATGTGGGGGTAGGATATTGGGAGGTGGAGGTAGGATATCCGGAGGTGTGATATCGGGAGGTGGGATATCGGGAGGTGAGTGTAGGATATTGGGAGGTGGGAGTAGGATATCGGGAGGTGAGTGTAGGATATCGGGAGGTGAGTGTAGGATATTGGGAGGTGGGATATCGGGAGGTGAGTGTAGGATATCGGGAGGTGAGTGTAGGATATTGGGAGGTGGGAGTAGGATATCGGGAGGTGAGTGTAGGATATTGGGAGGTGGGAGTAGGATATCGGGAGGTGGGAGTAGGATATCGGGAGGTGAGTGTAGGATATTGGGAGGTGGGAGTAGGATATCGGGAGGTGGGGATCCTCCAGCACTGAGTGGAGAAACAGACAGGGGAGGGCACAGCGGTGACTACTTTACAACACACACAGGGACCATGGGAAACAAAAGTAGCCCCCCTCCAGAAGGAAGGACAGTGTCAGCGCCAATTCAGAGATGATGGGAGGTGGAGGTGGAGGTAGGATATCCGGAGGTGGGGGATGGGGATCCGGAGTTGTGGGAGGTGAGTGTAGGATATTGGGAGGTGGGAGTAGGATATCGGGAGGTGGGAGTAGGATATCGGGAGGTGAGTGTAGGATATTGGGAGGTGGGAGTAGGATATCGGGAGGTGGGGATCCTCCAGCACTGAGTGGAGAAACAGACAGGGGAGGGCACAGCGGTGACTACTTTACAACACACACAGGGACCATGGGAAACAAAAGTAGCCCCCCTCCAGAAGGAAGGACAGTGTCAGCGCCAATTCAGAGATGATGGGAGGATCTACACAAATAAGATACATTGTTCTTCATAGTTAAGGTATTTGAATGTATTCTTTAGGTTTATCTCCTGAGTTTAGTGCCACTTTAAGTGTTCTATTGTTTATTTAGCCCCTTCCCATACACCCTTAAAATAATTCTTAATTGATAAACTTTTGTGTACGATACATTGTTGCCAAGAAAATTCTTGAAACTTTTCTTGAAAATATAACTTTTAATGCAAACAGTAAAACTGTGAACCAGCCGGGACTCTTCTTGGAAATCAGACTTACTCGGCCTCTATGCAGCAAGTCTGCTTATCTTTCCATATTAAACATCTCACCCGTCTGTCTGTAACTACCGCAGAGGGGCCGAGCGCTCCGCTCCGTAAACTTTCAGCTGCCGCCGAGAACGCCGTGCGCCGTAATAAATGATGTATTAGTGCTATTAAATAAGAGATCCTTGAAGGGGATTGTCAATAATTCTAGAATCCCCCGGACATCCTGTCATTAGATAAGCCAACAAGCGCATCGATCTGTTGTCTTAGTGAAAACAACCATGCTTGATTGCTTTGTGATATGATGATGCGCCGTTCATTGATGCCGGAGCAAAACCATCGCCACAGTGTATCAGTTTACCGTTAGTTTTTACCAGTAGCTCCCCAGACGGTTTCTGTTTATCTCACCATTCTATGTAAATGCTAGAGCATGGGTAGGCAACTTCGGCACTCCAGCAGTGCTGCAACCGCAAATCCAATTATGCCCCTGTCTCTGGGAGACATGCCTGTGGCTGTCAGAGTCTTGCAATGCCTCATGGGACTTGTAGTTCCAAAGGAGCTGGAATGCCAAGGTTGCCTATGTCTGCTCTAGAGCAAGGGTGGGCATCTCTGGACCCTCCAGCTGTTGTGGAACTACAAGCCCCATGATGCACCGCAAGACTCTGACAGAAAGAGGCATGACTCCCAGAGGCAGAGGAATGATGGAATTTGTAATTTCACCACAGCTGGAGTGATGAGGTTGCCTACCACTGCTCTAGAGTGTAGTGTGTGAGCACCCTGCAGTTTGGGCGATACTGCAAGGACCACATACACAAACAACAATCACTTTATGGTCAAAGTCGATTTGATTGCACATCTATTCCTTTTGAATTACTGGTTCATCAAAATCTAAAGGTGGTGGCCGTGTCTGCATGCTTTATAGATTGGATTAAAGCCTTCATTTTTGCTATTTGCTCTTCTACACGTCAAATGTATTGTGATGTAATACCTCATCAAGGCCACTAGATGGAGCAGAAAAGCATAGGAAATAAGTATCTCGGTATATATGTATGTCTTCTGCTCTCCAGCGCCATCTAGTGGCCATAATCCAGTATTACATCACAATACATTCGACCTGAAAAGGAAATATATCAAGAACTTTTGTTGTCGTCATTATTCGCACACAACGAACACCCTTAAGTGTTCAATGCAGAGAACATGTGAACTAATCTCAGAAATTCCGGACCCTACATGACCATACAATATAATGTCCCAGCCCTGCACGCTACTTCTACTTTTGCTGCGGTGCATTGAACGTGTGACTACAGACAAAGTCTTTTTTAAAGTTTTGGATGGTGTGGGGTATCATCTTGGTGAGCTTTGTGTATTTCTTCCAGATCTGTGCAGTAATCCAGTGTGAGATTTGGAGCCTCCTGTAATAAAGACAGGTCGCTGCTGCTCTCTCTCCTTGTGCAGAGTGACTGTTCTTGTCTCCGCACCCCTCCTGTAATAAAGACCGGTCACTGCTGCTCTCTCTCCTTGTGCAGGGTGACTGGTCTTGTCTCCGCCCCTTCCTGTAAATAAGACCGCTCACTGCTGCTCTATTTTTGTGCAGGCTGACTGGTCTTGTCTCCACCCCCTCATGTAATAAAGAATGGTCACTGCTGCTCTCTCTCCATTTGCAGGGTGACTGGTCTTGTCTCCGCCCCCTCGGTTTAGTTTTGTAGTGGGTGGAGCCTGCTGGGTCCCTCCCGCAGCTCTGCTCTATGTACAGGCTGTGTATAGCACGGTGATGATGTCTCTGCTACTTTAATATTTGCAAAAGCCATTTGGCGCACACAAAGTAGATTTATATCCTTTACAGCTATTCATAAAATAATTTAAATTAACTCTTTTAATGGCCGGAGTTCTGCTTTAAGCTACCAGTATGTTTTTGGCTTGTGGCAACCAATGAGAGCAGCCAGAGGAGACCCTCACATGGGGGAACGGTTTTGGATTTTGCGAGCCACAGAAAGTGAACTGGCTCCCCATCCTGCCCGCTCTGCAGGTTATTAGGAATGTTGTTGTTATAGATGAATTTGCTGCTTGTGGCTGCTCACCAATATTCTCTCAATCATTCAGACAAGATCTTCTGGACGGCTTCGATGTTTCCTTGAAACGCTTCAGCGGTCAATGCGGCCAAAGCAAATCTCTCATAAGAGTTCCCGGGGAATTTATTAAAAGTTGAAGTACCGAGGAAAGAAAGTTTCCCCCGCTTCCGAGGTGCAGCCGGGGATTTGGGATGAGGGAGAGGGATTCGGGGAGATGGATTTGGTCGTGGAAATACCGATTTCCCCGTCAGCGGAATGATAACAAAGCGGAGACTCTGTCTTATCGCTATTTATTCTGTGTGACTATAATTATCTTCTGGGATGTTTTGTTTCAGGTTTGCCCGTTACCTGGCTTTCCGGATCCTTCCGAGGTTCTGACGGCATCCCAGAGGCTGATCCGGGAACACGGGACGATTTGTGGCCCTACGAATCACATCCTGAGGCAGGTACAGCAAACGGCTCCTTCTGTGGTGTATTGTTGCTGTACTGAGGTTTATATTAATTTCCTTTATTATGGTCATTTCAATGTTATTTGTAGGGGTTTTGGATTTTCCTGAAGGCTTCTGGTGGGAATGGACCAAAAGCTGCCCCTAAGGCTGTTCTTGCCTTATATCTGATTCTGCTGTTTCCTGAGCACCCTTACCTTGACTGCTAGTCTCTCCAGGTCCCAACCTTCCTTAGATTGACTGCCAGGCCCACTAGCTGACACCCTTTCTTAGATTGGCTGCCAGTACCACCAGGTCCTATCCTTCCTTAGATTGACTGCCAGGTCCCATCCTTCCTTAGATTGACTGCCAGGCCCACCAGGTCCTATCCTTTCTTAGATTGGCTGCCAGTACCACCAGGTCCTATCCTTCCTTAGATTGACTGCCAGGTCCCACCCTTCCTTAGATTGACTGCCAGGCCCACCAGGTCCTATCCTTTCTTAGATTGACTGCTAGGCCCACCAAGTCCTATCCTTCCTTAGATTGACTGCCAAGCCCAACAAAGTCCTATCCTTCCTTAGATTGACTGCCAGGCCCACCAGGTCCTATCCTTCTTTAGATTGACTGCCAGACACACCAGGTCCCATCCTTCCTTAGATTGACTGCCAGCCCGACCAGGTACTATCCTTCCTTAGATTGATTGCCAGTCCCACCAGGTCCCATCCTTCCTTAGATTGACTGCCAGTCCCACCAGATCCCATCCTTCCTTAGACTGACTGCCAGGCCCATCAGGTCCCATCAATTCTTAGATTGACTGCCAGGCCTAGGCCAGGTCCCATCCTTCCTTAGATTGACTGCCAGTCCCACCAAGTCACACCCTTCCTTAGAATGACTGCCAGTCTCACTAAGTCCCATTCTTCCTTAGATTGACTGCCAGTCCCGCCAGGTCCCATCCTTCTATAGATTAACTTCCAGTCCCACTAGGTCACACCCTTCCTTAGAATGACTGCCAGTCCCACCAAGTCCCATCTTTCCTTAGATTGACTGCCAGTCCCACCAGGTCCAATCCTTCCTTAGACTGACTGCCAGTCCCACCAAGTCCCATCCTTCCTTAGACTGACTGCCAGTCCCACCAGGTACTCCCCCTCCCCCTATCTTAGTATCACTTGTAGAAGGAAGTAGCTCAGGGTGTTTTTTTTGTCAGATACACTTTATCTCTCAGGAAAACCATATCAGTGGAATTCATAGGCTTCCGTTGCCAAAATCCATTTCCACCATCACCCAGTGGCCTAGTTGTCCAGCCAGTTCTCTGCCATAGTTTGATCTCCTGTGCAAAGAGAAGCAACAGAACTAGAACGTGAAAAAGTTATGATTTGATATTATAAGGAATCTTGTATCATAATAATCAAACATGTTTCAGGGGTTCGAAGGGTTCCCCCTTCATCAATGCTACAAATAACAAATAAAACGTTGTCATCAGGATTCAATATTGATCGATATGTATACAGTATAGAATACCAAATGCCGATATATTGCAAAATTATTTTTGCTAGTTTTAGTTAGTGTCCCTTCTGAATACGTCAGACACAGAGTTCCCTCCAGCAGTTACTGTGTATAACAAAACATGGAATAGAAGGTTTGACTGTTTCCCTCAAAAAGAAGACCTAGTTGTGAGCATTCCCAGGGCCGGTGGTGGCATGAGGGGGAACTTAAAGAGCCGCGGGAAAGAATCAGCGGTGCCAACGAAGCCAGCGCTAGAGGAAGCGAGGCGGCAGCGGAGGGAGCAGAGCCGCCAATGCCTCCTCAATAGCGCTGGCTCAGAGGCGGAGTGATACCAAATGCACTCCTCCTGTGAGGAATCGATAGTGAAAGCGCGCTTCGCTCATTCTGGCCAGCGATTGGTTACCAAACTGCTCTTGGAAAGGTACGGCACCCCTGACTGCCCTGATCACCCTATTCTTAACTTTGCCATTTTGGATTATTTCATTTGGATTTGGATTCGCATTAACTTTGGATTGTTGTACATTAAAAAAAAATAAAATCAGACCTACCCCGAAAATAAGACCTAGTGCGCTTTTTTGAGCCAAAAAAAAATAATATAAGACAGTGTCTTATTTTCAGGGAAACACGGTATATATAACAATGAGAAAGTCATATAAAAGTCACAAATAATAATAATACAATAAAAACCTCACTGCTTGCTGGAAATAAAGGGAAGCTCCAGTCAGCTACATCCATTGCAAGGTTCAAGAAAACTGCAGATCCTTACCTAAAAAATCCGATTTGCTTTGTCTCGATCCTTCTCTCTATTTTCCTGCAGATGTGATTTGTAGAGAATCACCCAATTCAGGAATCCAGGCAATCACAATTTGTAGGAGTCGCTGCAGATTGCACAAATCTCAGTGTATATATTCAGACACACCAAAAAAATTGTGCTACAAATGTAACTCATTTTGTGCAAATTCAGATGGTGGATGGGTTTTATAAATGTGGTGAAGTGGTGTTTGGGGTCGGTGAAGGATCATCAGATCAATTATTTGCTATATAAATAGTCCTGTTTTTTTAAACTGCATTACTTATTTCCAGCCACAGGATGGCGCCAAAGAATTGTTCACTTGTTGGAGCATTTCTGTCTAAATTGTATCTGAGCAGAAAAAGAAAAATATAACATATTGTATCTTATCGGTCTTTAGATGTGGTGGCTGCATTTGTTTTCTTATTTTCAGGCCTTTATTTTTTTTCCTTTAGATCCTGCCAATAACACATTTCCTGTCCGCTCACTGTAATGTGTCTATTCAGGCTTAGGCCGGGCACACACCTTACAACCATCGCAACACTTTTGTCTTGCGATGGTTGTAAGGTACTTTAAAAAACGTACGATCTGCCTATCTTGCATAGGCAGATCGTACTTGCGATGATCGCAAGCCACGCCCCCTGAGGGGCGGGCTTCCTATGACCGCAATGCCGAACGGGCAGTGTGCGCTTGCGCACACTGGCCCGTACGGCTTTTATCTTACGAACATGCCACAAACCCGCCGAGCATCGTACGATAAAAGCCAGTACGGCTTTTATCGTACGAACATGCTACACACCCGCCGAACATCGTACGATGCTCGGCGGGTTTTCGAACATGTCCGTAAGTTAAAAGTCGTGCGACCTTACAGTAGTAGAGGTCGCACGGCTTCCACACACCTTACGATAATCGTGCGATCGCGGGATTTCCCGCCATTATCGTACGATTATAGTAAGGCGTGTGGGGACCTTCACTCTAGGCTGCTTTCATGTTTTGGTCTACAAACACCTTCCCATCTCCTGATCTCCATTACATAAAGATGAGCGGTTTGTAGTTCACCAAAGATAGCTGGGAAAGCTGACAACATAGTTTGAGATTTCAGCTCACTGCCCAGGAAGTTACTGGCATGATCAACAGGTATTTCTTTGTCCGTGCAGAAAATGTACTTAGCCCGAAAAGAGAAAACGAATGCAGTCACCATTTTTAAACACTGTTAAGCTGCAATATATGACAGTTTTGTTTTTGTGTTTCGATATACTTTAAAGGAGAACTATGGGGTTAGGGCTTTTCACTCACCTCATAGTTCTAGCCAACCTGTGACAATGAGACTGTCACAGGTCGGCTCAGTAGATCGGGAGGTGAGCGAACACATACCGGCGTTTGTTCACTTCTTGATCCTGTCACGGCTCTCTGCCGTGACAGGGGAGGGGCTGGATTCCCCCCTCCCCGCTCCGATCCGCCAGCGCTGACTGGTGGAATGGACGGGGGAGGGGGCGGGTACAGCTGGCTCTGCCTCTAGATAGGCGGAGCAAGCTGTCACTCACGCAGCTGGGCGGATCTCGACATCGATGTCGGGATCCGCTCCGGCGTCTCAGTATATAGTGAGCTGGGCGCCCTATATACTGAGCCTAGGGTGATGGGAGGACGCTAGTTTGTGTCCTCCCGTTACCCTAAGGAGAACTATGGGGAAAAGCCCTGACCCCATAGTTCTCCTTTAAGAGCACCCATTCCCAATACACAATGGTGGCTGCAGTTTCCATTGAAGAATTTATATTCCGATAATCACCTTTGCAGAATACAATAGGAATAGAATACACTGGTGTTACAATTGTTACAAAGCACATTGTGTCCTAATGATATCAGCCATTCCTTGTGAAGTGAAGCTGCACCTTTGTGTGTATTTCTTCATGGCTGCAAGATGACAGGTTCTCTTGACCATAGGCGGCTATATTATTATTATTATCTCATTTGTTTCCTCCCACAGCAGCAGATGGTGGAGCTGATCCCGGTGGTGCACGTGCAGTACGAATACAGAGGGAAGAGCCTGTCGTCTCACGTGTACGGTCGGGAACGCAGAGTGTACGCCAAGCGTCACCCGCCCGCGCTCTCCTGCGGCTGCGCAGTCATGTGATGCTTTGACTGTGACCCAGGCGCTGACTTCTCCCCCTAGGAGGTGCCTCCTAACATGCTACAGGGACACCGGGTCACGGAGATCATATTCAAGTCATGAAACAACTGGAAGTACAATGGGAATTCTCAGCTATCGCTCATCACTTCCTCCCCGGAGCGTCTCAAAGCACATCGTCCAGGGGGAAGCTTTGTATGATTATATGGATACATTTCGCTTCACATTACTTATTGCTTCACTATAAAGAGGAACCATGGAAGGTTCTGATGTAACTGCAATGAATATTCTGGAGGAACAATCATTATTTCTCCATAGAAATAAACACTTAGAGATAGTGATTCTGACATTCAGCTTTCACTGCATCACATTTGAAAACAGAGGTCATGTCTCCAGATAAATGATACCCACCGACGCTCAGAATCTCGAGTGCCAGCTCCCAGCTTTTTTCAGCCTCACACAGCAAGGAGTTGCACTTCTATTCAATAATCACAAAGTATATTCCTGCGGATCCTGGTACAGAAGCAGTCACCTGGGTTGACGCATTTCACTCAGTGTGAGCTTAAAGTGACACTAAAGTCAGGAGTTAAATCTTAAAAATCTTCAAGTCACTTAACTCTGAACAACAATGCATGTTATTTGTGTATCACTCGGCTGAAGATCCTCCAATCATCTTTGAATTAGTGCTGACACTGTCCTTCCTTCTGGAGGGGGGCTACGTCTGTTCCCCATGGTCCCTGTGTGTGTTGTAAAGTAGTCACCGCTTCAAGCTCGCTCCCGGGATGAACTACAATCTCATGCTTAGTTTATTCATTTGTATTGGGATTGTATCAGGGGCGTAACTAGAAACCACAGGGCCCCATAGCAAAATTGTGTATGGGGCCCTGTGATTTCTAGTTACGCCCCTTGCAGCACCCACCTGAGATCCCAAACAGCCCACCTGAAAGTGACCCTGCAGAGCCCACCATAGACTCTCTATGGTGGGCTCTGCAGGGTCTCTGGTCGGCTGGTCGGCTGCCCGCCTCCTCCTCCATGGCCGCTAGTGGGCCCCGCCTCCTCCGTCCCCGGACCCCACCTCCTCCTCAGTCGACGGGCTCCGCCTCCTCCTCCACTGCCGACCCCAGGCCCCACCTCCTCCTCCAATGCCGGGTCCAACCTCCTCCTGCGCCGCTGCTGGCTGTCACTAGCGGCTTTGGAGAGGAAGATACCGCTGCACACACTCACTGTCAGTGATCTGAACAGCGGCTCGTTCCTTTTCACAGCCACCAGTGACAGCCAGCAGCATGAGATGCCACAGCGACCCAGGCGGCCTGTACGGCATCAGGGGATGTCCTGGCCGGGCCCCCCCGTGCCGCCTGGGTCGCTATGGCCATTGTTACGCCACTGGATTGTAGTCCATTACAGGTGCGAGCTTGGAGCGGTGACTACTTTACAACACACACAGGGACCATGGGGAACAGACGTAGCCCCCCTCCAGGAGGAAGGACAGTGTCAGCACCAATTCACAGATGATTGGAGGATCTACAGCCGAGTGATAAATAAGATACATTGTTAATAATAGTTCAGGGACTTGATTGTATTTTGAAGATTTAACTCGGGAGTTTAGCATCAGTTTAATTGTTGGGTTTGTTTGCACTGAGGGAAATGCATCAGTGAGAGAGCCCAGGAAGGCTGCTTACGTACCAGGATCTGGCTAAACATTCCCTGCAGGTGCAGGTTTTAATGACAGCAATTGATCCACCGCCAGTGAATATCACATTTGCCGCTTTGTAAATATGCCGCTTAATGTTTATGACGTCTCCGTGCTTTTAGAAGTCACACGTATATGAAAGCACTAAAAAACCTGTATGCGGTCACAATGCCTCGTCTGCATGTTGTAGGTCAAATGGTCTAAATCCTAAATGGCTATTGAGGAACAGAATGAAACGTTTTTGTTTCCAGAGTTCATCTATAAAATGGATCTGAGGTCAAAACTTTTTTTCATTGTAGTTTTGATAGAATAGTGAAGGGTCCAATTTTTTTTTAAACAATCATTTTATCGTATGTTTCACTAGTATGAGAATTATTAATACATATCCACTGAGCGGCCAGATTATTATGACCACCCCCCCTCCATCAGTACTTCGTTGGGCCGCCTCGTGACTCCACGAGATGTATGTGCGTTCCTATAAACAAACTTTTAGTAGATTCCTTATAAGATACATTGTATTATTTCATATCAACTGTTATATTTTTATTTGTATTGTGTCCCTGATGAAGGGGGAATGTCTGAACCCCCAAAATGCGTTGGGTCTCATGTTTTACTTATTATCTAATAAATAAAGTTTGCGGTCTCCCTACTGCTTCTTACATTGTTCCATTATGGCCGCGTAGTCCCATAGAGAAGGACGGGGGCTGCGTACTAATAACACGCAGCACTTGTCCTTCCCGGGAGCTGCCCGATGCGGCCGTGCACGCAGCACGATTCCAGTGTGAATGAGGCCTTAGGGGAATTGGGGATTCTCTAGACTACCAATCCATATCCTGGTACAAGAGCTCATTCACACCAGGGCGGTTGCGGATCAGCGCGGTTCCCGCGCTGATTTCAAAAGGGAGGTTTTGGGAGTTTTTAATGGCGTTTCAGCGCTCAAAACGCAAGTAAAAACGCCCAAATACTGCACTGATCAGCGCGGTTCCATTGAAAGCTGTATGGAAACCGCATTGATCAGCGCGGCAAAAATAGCAGTTCACGCG